CATATGTTGTATATGTACTTGTATTACATTTCATGCAGGAGCTATACACAAACATTGATGCTTAGTTTAATGCTATGATGTATGTTTCATTATGTATGCCATTGCTTTTGCTTATTTGTTTGATTGATTGATGTATGGTATGTATGTTCTTCACTTTCTTCAACTTCTCGACCTTGTCCACGTCTTCTTTTGTCGTCTTTTGTTTTTCTGCTACTATGGCTAATGACACAGCTACTACTATGTTTTTTTTATGCTTTTTTGTTATTTTTTTTTTGGGATCTTCCATTCATTTTGTTTTTCAACTACTAACGACACATTTAAATATTTGCAACTGCTCTACTTTAAAATAGTTTTAATTTTAATATATCATATGCCAGTTTGTCACATTCCTTTGCATACGCAACCACATTCGCTTCCGCTCCCGCATCCGCATCCGCATTCGCACACTGAGCCAATAGGCTGCCCCAACCAAAAAAGTATGCTACACTTTTGACTCTTCACTCAATCTCAAAAACTATTTGCTATCGTACTATTTTCTTCTGTCATATTTTTCTTTAGCCTATTTGCTTCAATTCAAAATTCAATTTGTCTCCATTTTGTTTAATATTGATAGCTATGCGTTTGCCTTTTATTGCTTTTAATTTAACTTTTACGTTTATGTTTCATTTATATATATATATATATATATATATATATATATATATATATATATATATATATATATATATATATGAATGTATGTATATTTATGTTTAGTTCTCTAGAGGCTTTTGTTTTTGTCTTTTTTTTAGGGAGTTTTGCGCTTTTCTCAGGGTTTTGTTACTTTCTTTTTTTTGAAAAAATTAAGGTACACATTAAAAATAGTTAGGTTTTTACTTTTTAGGTAGGTTTTGTTTATCTTTTTTTGTTTTTATGTTCTTTCTATGCCTTTTTAAAAAATAGAAACTTTCAATAAAGGGGCCTTAATGACATAGTACACTACTAACATGCTGTGTGCTGTGTTCCGTGTTCTGTGTTCTGTGTTCTGTATTCTGTGTACTTGTGTGTTTGCCTTTGTCCTACTTTGACTATTCCTGGTACTTGTGCGAGTAGCTGTAGTAGTTTTACGAGCAGCTTTGAGCTTTAGACAAAGGATTTGTTGGCATTGCGGTGGCAAGGAAATTAAGAACCTTCCAGCTGCAAGCTGAAGTTGCAACAAACGAGAAGCTAATTGGGTGGGTTTTAAGAAAACTTATTAGCTGCCTTGAATAGAGGCGCAGGAACAAAACGTAAGTCAGCAAGAAAAAAAATACAACTAAAGAAAAATGCTAGAGAAATATATGGAAGGGATAAAAATGAATGGAATCAAGCATTCCCTTTCTTTTCTTTTCCTCTTTAAAGCAAAAGACAATGAAATATCTAAAAGGATATACGAAATACGAAATATATATACGAACAGGCAAAAAGCAATATTTAGTTTAAAGTTAGTCTTTAAATTATGATACACGTTCCTAAAAAAAGATGGTTTAATGTGAAACTTTTTAAGTTTTAAGTCCTAAGTAAAGCTACCTCGGAATCATTTACAGAAAAGCTCTCGAAAACCCGCTTCATAAAAAAAACTTGCACAAATCCGCCTGCAAATCAACTTTTCATTCCCAAAGCTCAAACTCCAAAATGCACGCTACATTTTCGTGTGTGAATCTCTGTGTTTGTGTGTGTGTGTGTGTGTGTGTGCTTGTTGCATTTGAAATGTATGTAGTTTCGTTTACTTTTTGTTTAGCTTCAGAGTTATACTTTTTTGTTGTTATGCTAGTTTCATTTGATTTTTTTTTATATGCTTATGTAGTTTTTTAAACTATTTTCTGACTTTTTGTCGTAACTATCGCAAGTACATTTTCCAAAACCGTTTTTGTTTGCATTTAATTAAATTATATGAATACTTTTCATTTTTGTTGTTGCTGTTTTTGTTTAGTGTAAATGTTGTTTTTTGTTGTTGTTGTTGCTGTGTTCGGTGTTTTTGTTGCTCTTAGGAAGACCAAAACAAATGTTCAATCGGAAAGGCGTTTGTCCTTTGGAGCATTTCAAAAGTAATGGTAGAAGGATCCTGGTAGAAGGATCTGTTTATTTAATGAATTTTTTTTTTAAATTTTTTAATCAATTCACTAGACTACAAACTCTAACTTTCAGGTTTCCAAAGCAATGCCCGAAAATAGGCAAGTAACGAGTATAAGCCGAACTATGAAGACCTTTGCTTGTTGCACATTTGCCGGCTTTCCAACTTTTTTCCATTTCGGGCAGCTTTTTTTTTTTGGGGCGGTTTTTTCTAATTAGACACACTCATTGTTGTCGTCATTGGCGCTCTTTTACTGGGTCAAAGCTTTGTAGGCATTCGGTTGCATGGAAAGCGACGGCGGGTAAAGGCGGCTAGCGGGAGTTGGCGTAAAGTGCCTTGCTCGACACCCAGTAAAAAGTTGCTCGTCAAGTGGAAAGAATGCAAAAAAAGGAGAGGAATTAAAAAACATAACAAAACCTCAAACATTTTGGCCCATATTTAACGGCCACGCCTCCGGGGCGCAGTTGTCGAGCTCGGCACAGCGAACTTTTCCTTTGTGTTTTTAATTTCTAACAGGGCTAAAGTTTTTTCCGTAGGTGTTTTGTATCTAGGTATGTGTGTGTGTGGGTGTGTGTACTCGCTTATATATATATGTGTGTGGGTTTGCGCAAATAGTTTTTAATTTGTGGCAAACATTCTGTCGGCTTGCGCACGATCTGTTAAATATGTATTTTTTGATTGTTTCAACTTTGCATTTGCCAACTTGTCACTAATCCATAGTCAATGCCAGTTAATGGCAGTTATCCTAAAAATATATTGTATATAGATTTGTATATATATATTTTTATTATATATATACTTGACTTCTATAGCAATCGCTCGTTTTGCTCATGTTTGTTTGCCGTTTTGGTATAAAAATTTTAACTTTAGTTCGGGTTTCTTTGAATTGTTAGCTTTATGCTTTTGCTTTATTTACTTTTATTTGCATTTTATTATTTTTATTATTAATATTTTTTCTGTTTTGTATAAAATACTCACATTCACATTTACAACTACGAACCACGTAACTACTTATAGATGTATTGTATTGTATATATAGACTTTATAGTAATAGTTATGTATGTATATGTATATATAAATGTATTTATGTATGTATGTATATCGTTATCGTATGTATGCACGTATGTATATGGTATATTTTTACTACTTCCGAGCAAACCTCGACGGCACTCAGCTCATCATTCCTCAACGCGTACGCCGGCTAGAAGTTATATATAGTCTAGGAGTAGTCTATATATACCTAAACTTAAGCCCATTCCAAATATCTACTCACACACCCTGTATAATGCTTAGCTCCTCTCATTCGCGAAATATCTGACCGAAAACCGAGTATTTGTCTTTTGCCTAAAATGACGCATCAATTGCCTTAGAAGTTGCCTTAACGAGTATCAAGTATATACAACTTAGATTTAGCATACAATTAGTTATAGCTAGGAGAGAGAGAGAGAGAGAGTTGAATGATGTATATAAATATATCTATATCTATATATTTGGATATATATATTTATAGATACATTTATATACATATATATATATTTATATATGTAAAAGAGTGAGAAAGGCAACACTTTGAGTGTAGAGCATTTTATGAGTTGAGTTTGAATAGTAACTGAATACAACTTAGTAATACATATAGTATATAAATAATATGCAGTTAAAGCGAGTGTTTATAGTCACATAAATTAACAAAAATATACATTGAGCGCTAGGTTTGGGCAAATGGCGATAATAGTGGATAGTTGCATATAAAAATGTTATTTTTATTTAATATTTTTGACAGCAGGAGCAAAAAGTGTGTAGGGATATTCAAGCTTGGGGAATATATTATCGTTAAGTTGCCCAAACCTAGCAAAGGAAATGAATTAACATAATATTGTTGTATATCTCATAATGCCGAAACTTGTTTATCTGGTTTTCTACCCTAAAACCTTTCTATCTGTTTGAAAAATTATAGTTAATTTAAACATGTTTATCATCATCACACCTGGTGCAGAGTTTGCTTCCTTTTTTATTCTTCTTAGACTATTACGCCATTTCTCAATTAAACAAAGTAAAGTCGCAAGTCTTTTCAAACCTCAACTAAATAAATGTGTTACTTAGTTGTTTGTTTGCTCTTTTTTTTTTTTATATATGGACGTATAAATGTTATATGTGTAATGTATGTAGGCTTATTTTTCTTCCCATTCATTCCTTTCTACGCTCCGAACTTAGTTCCTTAGTTTGCGCGCACTACAAGTGACTAAACTTAACTGGGATTTAATTATGTGTTATGCTTTACGAACTATATACGAGTATGTATGTTTATGCTTGTGGTTTAGTTTAGTTGCCTATATCTATGCCTTTGCTCAAGTGGTTTTTCTGAATTTCTTCATTTGCGATTGTGTCTTGCAATGTCCAACAAAAATCATCAGACGTTCAAGCTTTACATAAGTCAGACCCTATATATATTTATATATATATATGCTATATAATAAAACTATTATGTAGAAGGAATGACTGCGCTAGTTTTTTGTTATTATACGTACTCGTATCATTCTATATATATTTGCTTTTCTTTTATTTTTATTTTGTATATCATATATAACGACAACAACAACTAATTATTGCTTTTCGGTTTTTAAAATGCGGTACGCGAATATTTTATTATTTTTTTTCTGTTTTTTTTTTGTTCGTTTTTTTTAGGGTTTTTGTTTTTGCTTAAAGTACCTTAAAAAAATCATTAATAATTTACTAAAAGCTAGAACAAAAATAACAAAATTTGCGAGAATTGGCATAAATAAACAGGAGGAAACAGCAGGACAGAGAGAATGGGAGAGAGAGAGGATTTAGATTGGGAGCTTATTATAAATAATTAATAGTTCTGCAATTTTTTCATAAACTTTTTGTTTTGTTTTTCTTTTCGTATTTTGTTATTTGTGTTTGCTTTGCTTGATGTTGTTGTCTGTACTTGTATTGTAGTAGGATTAAGAGCTGTCATTTATAGTTAAAGAGTTGTAGTTGCATATTTTTCTTTTGTTTTTCTTTTCTTTTCTTTTCTGTTGAGTATTTATGTATATAGTGTAGTTAGACGGTGGTGCCTGTGCTGCTGCTGCTGCTTCGCTCTGCTGTGCCATTGGATGCGTCTGCTCCTCACGTCCTTAGCATCAGCAGCAGCCACCAGGATGCGGCGCCCAGCCACAGCAGACAGCTGGTAAACTGGCCACAATTGCTCCGGTTGGCACCGCTCAGTCCCCCGTGGACATCAGTCGCCGAGCTGCGACTGCTGCGTGCGGCTCCCTCGATGATGTTGTTGTTGTCCAGCTCATGGAGCACCGGCAACTCACTGAGATCCGCCGCAGGCGAGGTGCGCTCCGTGATGGGCGCGAAGAGGCGCTTCGGCTTGCAGCGCTTGTGCTTCTTGTAGGTCTTGGTCACATTTATGCTGTAGCCTTCGAGAAACTCGGAGCCCTGCAAAAGGAAATGGAGAAACATTTGCGTTGGTTCTGCATCTAATAAATTACAGCATTAATTAAATTTTTTCCTTCTCCAACTATTATATTACACCAGCTGAATAAGAGTGCGCGAGACGGAGCAGCAGACAGACGGATAGGAAATTAAAAAAATTAATTTCTCTCGTTGTCGTTGGAACCAAACCGAAATGTGCTGCGTTCTCTTTAAGTATAATCTAACTATGCACGTTTACTCCATGTCCATGCATATATGAGTAACTATTTGGGTGAACTCTTCCTGCTTAAAATCCGATCGATGACATTCCCACTATCCTCTATCCTTCCATCTGCACAGGATCTCCTCACAGCTTCAATTGAACTCCAACTTATTTAGGCTGTCTTATTTTTACTGCTGGCTCCTCTTAGGCATTTACACACTTGATCTGCATTCACATATTTAACATACACGCACATACATACTTTTGTTTATTGCATAAAAGAGATGTAACTTATCTGGCCTGCTCTGACGGATAAAGGATATAAGCAACATATTAAAATTGTCTATATTCCTTCGAAGAAATTCCATATTGAAATTAAAAGCTGCCCCTGCCATGAACCTTGCGTTATTCCAGACGATTGCCATGACTAAACATACTTTATGCCGCGCTGAGGATCTGTACGTTAGGGCGCAAATCCACAACACCTACACAAATTCCAAGCACAATAAGAATACAATGAAGCCATCAGATTTGTCGTTTTCCACTCCAGCTCCAGCGGCAAAATTTTGCCTTTTAATTACGCTGCATAAATTTGTGTTTATAAATAGGCAATGGCAATGGCAATGGCCACGACTCCGGCTATGGCTACGGGTCTGGTCTGGTCTGTGCGGCTCGAGGCTCGGGGCTGGGAATTCGGTTCGGGTGGATTTGGGCTCGGGTGCGCCATCTTTCCGGGCTGCGGTCAAATATTTTATGGCAGTCGAAAAATCTAAATCGAGTGAATGTCTGCATGTCGCCAGTGGGCGTGCCACACAATGGGCGTGAGCGGGAGAGCGAGAGTGAGACTTCATAACGAGTGTTTACTAATAATATTATGCAAATCGTGCGACGGGCCAACGTTGGAATCAGGAGCCAGCGATTCGTTTGTTTGCTGTTTGCTGCTTTTGTTGGCTGTTGAATTTTTCAAAAGGCATTTTGTGAATCGTTTTACGCTGCCAAACTCAACTCACAGCTGTACCCACAGCTCCACACCTCATCCAGCCGCAAAAAGAAACAAAAAATTAAATATGAAAATACTTGACAGACATTCGCAGGTGTGTTTGGACAGCTTATACTTTGTGGGTGTATTCAGCAGGTGTCTGGGGTATTTTGGAATTGCCTTCCTGTTGTTATTGTTGCCACTGACAGGAACAGGCAGCATAATTGAAAAGGAATGTACGGGTACGGCCTGGCGGGGCCACTCGAAATTATAAAATGTGCATAAATTTAAAGTCTTAATTGCCGTGCTTTAAGCCACGTATGGCCAGGATTCTATAGATTCCTCTTGGATTTTGACATGCTAATTAGCTGCCAGGTTGGCCCTGATTTGGGCGCTGGTCATTTGAGTTTTTGGCCAGCAGCTTTTTGGATATGCCACGCATATCCTGAGCATGCTTTAGTATTTTGTTATTTTTATTTTTTTTTTGTGTTTTCTTTCTGCTTTATGCTAATTAGTGTTGCCAGGCAATGTTTGCTTTGTAGGCAGGTGTAACTTTGAAATGGGTTGCGAGTTGGTTTCAGACGAAATACATATGTGTAATCCCCTCTGATTAGAAATGAAATTCATTTGAAATGCATCTAGTTTTAAATAAAGGCTGAAATGTTGTCATGGGTTTCGAAAATAATCTACAGGCTAAACGCAGATTAAACGACAGCTGAAAAAGGCTTTAAACAGCAGCTTAAATCCTTACATATAGTTTGAGCATATATTTTATAAATATATACATAATGGGGCATTTATTTTGAGTTGGCTTTTTGCAATCCATTTGATTTTTATCTAAGAGCTCTATTGACTGACGCCAGATGCTGCTAACTTTAGACATTTATTAAAAGTTAACAAAAAATTCAGTTCATTTAATTTATGTTTTTATAACTTCTGAAACTAGGCCTTCCAGACCATCGACTTTGAAAGCATCTACAAAAAAAAGGACTCCTTTGTCTACTCTTCAGCGATTCATAATTTTTTTAGTCAGCTTTGCCCAATGGGCCAAGTTTTGCCTTTTTTTCTTTCTGTTTTTTTTTTCTGCAAAGGTGCCTTGTACATTTTTACGGTACATTGAACTCAATTTACCTTTCTATCTGCAGCTGGTTGACATGTTTGCTCATCATTTGCCCAGAATAAAACTATTTTATCGGCTGGCTAAAGCTTTTTGTCTCTGCTATTTTATGCACTCTCGGCTCGCTGCTAATTTGAACGCTGCTGCAATGGTTTATAAATCCAATGGATCTGTCACAGAAGCCAACGGATGCCTCGAGGCTGCCTCCAATGAATTATTAACTTGACGGCTGAAGAATAAAAAGGGGCAGGTGGGGAGGTGGGGAGGGGTGGGCAGCGTAAAGCGTAAACTAAACCGAGCTGGAAATGGTCAACAATATTTAACGCAATAGCACGGAAAATCGATGACAATTCAAGCGTTGATAATTTTGCTTCCCACCAGCGCGAGTAGCATGAAGAAAAAATGGCAACAATTCCCAACTTAAGCAATTTCCTACAATTTTCCAGCGACTAGAAGCATGGTCATATGGGAGCATTCATTCAGCCAGCCAGCCAGCCAGTCAGTCAGGCAGAGAGTCAGTCTCTTAGTCGGTTCGTCTGTCGGTCGACCGGCTGAACGAATCGCTTGAGCCATTGGACGTGAATTAGTGTGGCCGGCTGGCAGCTGGCTGGCTAGCGACTTGGTTTTAGTGTGTGACCCATTAGAATGATCGTTGTCGAAGTTGTACGTGCGCCGGCTGATATATGTGACCTGGTTGGGTCTGCTCCGCTCTCTGCTCTGTGCACCGTTCTGGTGTGGTCTGCTCGAGCCGCGTCTGGCCTGTAAAGTGGCGCTAACCAACTCGAATGTTGCCCATTGGCAGCCAAGCCCAGCCAACCAGCCATCAGGCAGCCAGCAACTGCAATTGATTGCACTTTATAACGTGCGGTTTCCGGTAGACATTACCCGCTTTGCTGCAGCCACATTATCCGGGCCCTCAGAGATAAGAGAGTGAGAGAGAGAGAGGGAGTGAGAGAGAGGGAGAGTCAGCCAGAGGGGGTGTGTAGGCCAACTGCTGGGCTGGGATGCCTCTAATGTCTTTTGCCCGTACTCCTGACGATGAATAAATGAGCACTTGTCTAGGATCTCTGTGTGTGTATGTGTGTGTCGCTGGCTCCCAAACCAAATGGCAGCAAGAAAAATTATCCCAGATATTGTCTAGCAATTTAGCTGATTAAGCTGATGGATGTAAAGCAGCAAAAGCAGCGAAATGTTGCCAGCGATCAGAGAGCAGATTAAATGAAGTTGACAAGAAAAGGGTTAATGCGATTTCAACTGTGACAGCAGCTTACGATGGCCACATTCCTTGCCAACTGAATTACTAACGACTATCCAACAGAACTTAAGGCAAAATGTACTTTGATACATGGACACACATATATAGAATCAGTTTGGACCCAAGCCTGCCTAGAAGCTCTATTGTTGTTTCTTTTGGAATTCAGTAACATATTAGGGTATGCACAATTCGTTGTTGTTTACACTGCGTCTCTTTCATTCTGGTTTCGTTCGAGACTTTCACTTGGTTAGACTTTATCGTTGGGATAAATCGAAGTTGCTTACTCACCGGCACCACATGATTCTTGGCTCCCCAGCAGATGGGCTTAAAGCTGCCCTTGCGTGTGGCCTCTTGAAATTCGCCAAATTGATTTTCCCAATCGTAGGATATCAGACGTGCCTCCAATGTCATGCCAGCCAATTCGGGCGGTGATGAAATCAGCACGGGATTCGAGTCGCTGCGCAGAAGAGAGAAAGTGGAAGAGAGAAGCAAAATAACATTATTAACTTTATTATTATTGTCAACTTTGATTAGGACTTAAAATTTATTACAGCCCCCTCCCCCCGTCAAAAAGGCGCTTTGCCAGCAGATTTTCAAGTCCTATCGCCGGGTCGACGGGGGATTGGTAAGTTGGTAAGCCGACGCAGATTTGCGCCGGCTTTTCGCTGTCGATGGGAGTTTCAGGGGAAAGACGGCCGGCGAAAAACTTGAGCTAATTAATCTTTTAGATTTCATTTGTGACGCGTCAAATACTTTACTTTCATTTTTTTTTTTTTTGGGCATGCCAGGGGTGACGCGGCCAAACGGAATAAAAACCGCACTACGAATAATGCAGGGCAGACAGGACAAACAGCAGCGGGCCAGCAGCAGCAGGCGGGCAAAAACCCCAATAAATGGGCCAAAAGTGTAAAACCTCAAAGCAAATGCCTGGCTGCGGCCAGACACTCTGCAGGGAATGCGTTCAAAAAATGTTGTCTGCAGAAGGTGCAATGACTAATGAGCTGGCTTAGATATATATTTGTTATCTATTTAACTTTTCTATTTATTTGTTTATTTTCTGGCTTGTTCTGGGAATTACGTTGCAGCCTTTTGGCAGCTGTAGCCAACCCTTGTGCTGATGCCATCATTAGTCTGGCTTGCCTGTCCGCTATTCAAGATTTATTTTTTATGGCCAATTATTAGATTACTCGCTACTCGCTGTAAGTAGGTCACTCGCTACTCGCTCACTTTTTTCTGCATTCTCGTTGTTTAATTTCAAATGGGTTTCGCTTCAGTCTCGACCTTTACAGCCGGCCGCGCCGCTGCATCTTTTGCGCAATATAAATTCCATATACATTCATTTCATTTGATTTAATTTCATTCATTCCCTCTATTCATTCATTTCGCTTCGTTTCGCTAGCGCCATCTATGATTGCCAGCCGGCAGCACGACCCCACGACCCCACGGCCCACCTCTGCGGCCATAGTCTTTTTCTGCTCTCGTCTCGACCGCCCTTACAATTAGGCTAATTAATTTTGTTCTTTGGCTGGCATTACGAAAAATGTTGCTTTAATTTTCTAGCACACAGAAAGCCGCACACAGACACTGACATACACACACACCCACACACACACAGCAAGAGTAAAACATGAGCCAAACGCACATTTTCTTTGTTGTTCTGGCTGCCTGCTTCCTGTTTGACTGTGTGGCAGAATCCTTTGCAAGCCACAAACAAATCTCTTTTAATTAATTTATGATTCCACTCAATCCGCACCGAGGGTTGTATGATATCTACAGGGGCAGACAGCGTCCCGTCGCGCCATCGGGCTGGGTAATGGGTAAGTGGCTGCTGCAGCGCATCAGAGCCGCAACAATTTGCGGTTGGCAACACGAAAATATTAATGTCTGCGGATTGATTGCAACCTCCCCCCTCTGTTTCCTTGTCGCAGCACAGAAACCACCCACAAAACTAAAAACTGGCCACTTGTATGAGTCTCGAGTGTGAGAGTGTGTGTGTGTGTGGTCCTGTCCATTGTACACCGTAATAATAATATATAAAATAAAATATTGCATTTATCCATATGTTCAACTCTGTTTGTGGCCTGTGTCCTGTGTGGCTGCGTCCTGCGTCCTGTTTCCTGTGTCTTGCATACGTGTATCTTTTGACAGGAGCACTCGCATCCCCTTCCCTTCGCCCCTTCCCAATAGTTGGTCGGTGTTTGCGGTTTATTGAGCGAACCATTGCGTAGCGTCGCTCAACGCGTCTCTAATATATCCGGGCACCACGTGACCGTAACCTCCACTGCCCGCTGCGGTATCATAATAAATATAAATGCAGTGGAAACGCACACAGCTGTTGCTAATGCTAAAAGGCAATGCCGGAGCATAGATTACGCTGATCCCTTGGCCCTCTGGCCGCAGCCACGCCCCACCCATCATGGTACGCAGCCCGCAACCGCCACATCAATCGCTGGCCGTTTCAGTCTTATGGCTGTTGACTTCATTGGCACTCAGTATAATTAAAATTATGAGCCAGCAGCAGCGGCAGCAGGACAAAAGCTGTGACTTCACTTTGGTTTGGCATTGTTGATTATAAAATCCAATAGCTGCACCACATCACAATGCACATGTGCGCCACCGAACTGCGTTTTTGGATTGCCCTGCAGGGCACAGATCCTAAGCCGCGCACAAAAGGGAGCTGGCAGCAGCCAACAGGCAACAGGCACAGGCAAGGGGCAGTTGCAACAGCCGCAGCAACTGCAACTGCAACTGCAATGGCAACTGCAATACGAGTTCCAATGGGTTTATTTATGTAGCGTTATGACGGCAGCGATTGTGTGTGTGTGTGTGCGGGTGCATTTATGGGACGAAATTCAATTTTGAACTCCTATTGCAATTGCAGTTGGCAGCACAGCAAAAACCAATGGCCATGCAGATGACAAATGAAAACTTAAATTGCACAAATAGCCAACTGCTGTTGGCCAAAGGGACATTCTCGTCCCTATATGCGTGTGTGCAAGTGCCTCTATGTAGCTTACAATTGTTTATACATACTTGGTATTATATGCTATTTAATGACAAGTTGGTAAATATGCCTAGGAGACTTGTAATAGTTGCGACTTATCATGTGCAAAATACAGCCTGAACAAATCAAATTTAGCCAAGGAGAAGGAAAAGCTTTATCCCAAGATATCAACAAGAAGCTACTGAGTTTGAACCAGCGAGCTGCCGCTGGCTGGTCTAACTCTTAAGTCACGCTGGCTTAAGACCTTAAATTAGGAGATTTCAGAGAAAGGCATGGGCTAAAAGATGTTCTGAGGAGAATACGCGAAGAGATGTCCGACAGTGAAATAATTGGGGAATTAAAATGAGAAGAAATGTGATCCTGAACTAGGAAAATACCAGAGAAATTTCATTCCAGCTGAGAGTTCCCAACAAAAACTCTCAGCACAATAGAATTTAAACGGACTTGATATCTTATTAAATGACATTCGTTCAGATCAGGCGAATCATTGAATTAAATAGGTTGAACTTCTTAGAAATCTATGAGTTATACTTAAAATTAAAATTTAATTCAGATGTTGTTCGCTTCAAGCTGCTGCCAAAAATTCATTAAGAATAATTGCTTCACGCAAAAAATAACCACAAATTAAAAATGCGAACCACGTGCTGTCAAGCAATTTGATATCCTTTGCCATTTGCAGATGAAAGCAAAGGGAAGTGGAAACGAAGAGCATCAATCGATGGACGCTGGTTGTATAATGAATGGAAGAAAATGTAAAAGAAGAAGTCATCAAGTAATAAAGGATATCAGGCAGGATATCGAAGTCTTAATGAGCTGCGCAGCCCAGATAAAAGGTAAAACAAAGCGTACCATTAAGACACAAGATATCTCTTTATCATTCGAGTTGGCCTTAAACAATTAACAAACAACAACAATATAATGAAGCCAATTTAATTGCAGCCACGAAAGGCAGGAGGGGCCGTGAACGAAAGCGAAATAAATAGAGGGGCACAACTTGAATAATTACTTTCATTTTAACGTTGGGTAATTAAAAAAAAATATAAAAAAAAGTAGATGGCATACACACACTGGCCAACAAAAACTGGCCGCACACATGAGCATACAATTAAAATTAATTTCGGTGCCATGGCCAGTGCGTAAATTGTGAAAACCACTATCACATTATTTGGGCCGTGAAAAAATCAGGCAACCAAAACCCAAACGTATAACGTAAATTAAGCCAATAACTGTTGGGTCATGGGCATGTGTGTGTGTGTGTGCCACAGTGTGAGAGTGTGTGTGAGTGCGAGTGTATGTTAATGTGTGTGTGATCAATGAAGCCCAAACAGTAGCCATTGCCAGTGCTTGCCACGCCGCACTACAATGAGGCTCCTGTGAGCGGCTGCATTGTGCTTTATGTCCTTGGGTCTGGCCAGGATTCATTGCCCCCCGCCTGCCACAACACACGCTAACGACTCCAATGAGTTTTGCATGACGATGACGATGACGATGACGACGACGATGACGATGAGTACAACATTGCTTGTCCTGTCCGCCCTTCTCCTGCCCTCCTCTGTCCTACCCAGTTCTGCCCAGTCCTGCTGTGTGGCCCGTCTGGCCATAACTTCAGCCAGCTGAGCTGGCTGCTCGTTAGTGTGTGGGCTGGTCAATTGAGCCACAGTTGAACTGCAAACAATTTTTGGGCTATATATATGGCCCTCAATCGACTCGAGCTCTCGAACTCTCGAACTTTCTGAGCTGCGCCGATGCTGCACTATGCTAGTCGCAAAATCTGTGCGTATCGAATTAAATTGAATTTCGACCCTAATAAGCAAGCGGGTCGAAGATTGTCATGGCAAGTAGCCCATAATTACATTAGTACTGGTGCTCACTGGCCTGGCCAATGCATGATTAGCTTATCATTCATGGGCCTGCAACCGGACGACCAAATTACGATAATAAATTGCAGGCAGCTTTAAGCTGCATCGAAATTTTCTAATCATCTGGATTATGGGTCCATGCGCTCAACTCCTTACAACTTGTTTCTGGTCGAAAATTGCAGTTTTCAATTTGCATTGGCTTCGAGGAACTTTTTGCACAAGGATCAAACAGAAATTTGACTTTGGATTTGCTTGCTTTCCTCGTTATAATTCGCAACTAGCTTAAGCATCGGAGGAGGGATCCGTAGAACAGATTCAGATAACCTGTCCTGGCTTAATATAGCTGTAATATTTAACTAACGCAATCTGATCCAGCCATTAACTGCCTCCAGAATTTCTGGTGTAATAATCAACATTCTTGTGGTCCAATTGCCGTGTAGCCTTTGCCATATAAAACAACGATTCTTTAAGCCTGACATTCAATATCTGGCGCTGTTCAAATATTTAGCAGCTGGGCAATCAGTTGGTTGCACTCTGAAAACCGTTTCAGCTCCAAAAACTTAATTGTAATCCACCTATGGCGTTCAGTCTATTGTGGTATTGTCTAGTTTTTGTCATTGTTTAATTAAACTTGAAGCGCACAAGCGGTTTTGTGGTCGATCTACAGCCAGACGCCGCCCCCAAATGCAGATATTCCTCTGCCTGCCCAATACATGCCCCCTGCCCACTTTCCCGTTGGATTGCAGTGGAAAAACAACTATGGCAATTTCATTTTTGTTGTTGTCGTTGCATTGTTGGGGTTTTCATTATGAATTTTAATCCTCATATCGCATTCGCACTTTCGGTTCAGGCCCAGGTCCAGACGGACAGTCAGACGAACAGACAGACCGAACGCCGAGCCGAACCATTAAGCGCTACAAAATTGCAGTAGCCATAATAACTGACCAGCGGCAGTAACAACAATAACAACAGCAGCTCTGCAAGCATTCATGCCATTGTATAAGGCAAACAACAACAAGCGCGTCAAACAACAACAACAACAACTGGCTGAGCGTGCCATAACGACAGACAATTGCAAATGACTTTATCAATTCATGTCGATTTTCGGTACACGCAGTTCAACTGTGCGCGTGTGTGTGTGTTTATGCGTGTGTGTGCTTGGGTCGAGTGTGCATTGTATGACCGTGTCAGGACAAAAAGCCACTGTATGGCAGGGCCTCACAATCACTTACAACAACACAGCAAACAATGAAGACAACAACAGCAACAGCAACAACGAGAGCAGCAGCAGAGTGAAAAGCGAAAAGCAAAGAAAAGCGCTGAAGAGTGCCTGAGCTAAGTGTGCATATCAGATGTGCCGCCTATGGAAGATGATCTAATCTGAGTGGATTTTGAAGGCATAAAATGACTTAATGCTGATTTTAATGAATCCATTTTAATACTTTTCATATGCAAAGCCACTTAAACGAAGCTCACACACAGCGCACACAGACACAGCAGCTTTTCCGAATCGCAGCTGCTCAGACGGGCGCTTACTAATACTTGCGCAATTACTCATACACATGCATATATGGACTTAAGCCTAATGAATTTTTATGCTTTTGCTCAAATTGCTTTGCAGTTTAAGTTCTGCGTTAATCAATTTTCAAAATGAATGCAAGCATCCGATTTGCGCAGAATAAATAAATCTCCAATTAATCGTTTTTTCACTCATTTGAGCTTGACCTTATTTATTTATTTATTTAGCATTAACATTCAGCCCAGGCGCCAGCTATTTGGTCCTTCTGCTGTTGTACTTCCGATGCATAACTCATTTAGGTGAGCTGTTTTTGCCACTTCTACCTTTCCCGGCTGCTTAATCTATTTATGGCGTTTACTTTGATTTGCGCAAAGAATCGAGAAAAAAAAAAACGAGAGAAGGAGTACCATAGAAAATTATCTTTGATTTTGACTTGACCGTGTCGGTCTTGTGTCAATAGGAAGTGATTAATAGAGCGTGCGCCCGTCGTCGGAGGCAACCTTCAGAATGGCAACCATCTGAATCTCCACCCCACGGTACACATCAATTCAAAATGAATCTCGTGTCTGGCATTCAGGTTTAATTTCGACTAATTTTCAGCGTACGCTTTAATACAATATTTATGGGCTCCCCGAGGTGATTATGCCCGACCGCATTTGAATTGGTAGCCGGGCCGGCAAAAGCTTTTCAGGAGTCAAGAGCTGGCTGAAGCGTCCGGATGAACCGACTGAACTGGCTGCTGCTGCTGCTGCTGTGGTCTGTTTGTTTAGCACTTGGCGTTAATAGAAATCAATATTTTCTAAATAAAGCGAAACGCTCTGAGGTTGTGGCTTAGCCAGCATTCACTTGGCTGCCCCTCGACCTCAGGCTTGGAATTTATTTTTGCACATTTACAATTAAAACGCACAGCACAAAGCAGTTCATTCTCCAATTGTTTGTTAGTCAAATACTTCAGGCCGATGCATACACCCGATGATGAGTCTGGCTCAACGTCTCTATCAATCTGCTCTCGAGTAGTTGCGACTTCGTTAGGTGATTTGGTTATGCAACAACATCATTAAATCACCAATTACTTTAGTCAACAGTGGAATAAAGTGAATTTCCTTATACACAAGAGCGTCGAGTGTGGCGCCGGTGGGTGCATAGGGCGCACTACAGTGGGACAAAATTGAATAAGTTGCTTTGGATCAATGATAATCCACAGTTAGCTGTACCCAAAGAAAGTTCGTCTGATGTACTTATCGACATATTATCGGCTAATCGATATGATTCATTTCGATTCGTTTCCATTTTATGCGATTTCTCTATCAATTTAATCAAAGAAAGAAGTCAGACATCCAGTGACACTTGCTTTTGTCCTGAACGACTCCTCTTTCATTATATTATTCAGGGTTTCTTCTTTATTTGCCACACATTCGATTAATCGATTACTTGCTGTGTTCACTTTAATAACTGTTTCCAGTGCACTATCTTGCTTTATCGATACTTTTGAATTTCTGCCGAATTAAATGTCAATTTAAATGTAGCCCGTCATTCAATGCTCGCATCCATTGTGTGGCAAAAGCCTTTGGCTCTGCGGCGCCCGACTTCATGTAAATTCCATCATATGATATATATATATGTCTATATAAAATTTGTATAATAAAAGTGAGGGACTTACGTTGCAAGTTGTTCGATGCCAAGGGAATGCAGCACTGTGGGCAGGCTGGGTAGTGAATGACACGTTGTCAGTTTCTTTTGGCGTGGATAGTAAAGTGTCAGCACGGTGCAGCTTTCTTCCTTCATTGTGAGGCCACCTGTAAGGAAGAAGCGAGCAAAAGAAATGCATAAGAAATGCAACGGAAACAACAAGAGAACGGAAACAAAGAAAGCAAAATAAACACATATATTTATATATATAGTATATGTATATATTGGGAATAAAAGGAAAAATATCGCACGGCTGACAGCACACAAAATGCAAAAATACAACGCGCAGCTTTAGCGACAGTCACCAGCAAGGACAATTTCCTGGCTGGCTGGCCAGGTAAGTCGACCCCACCTCCCCCCACACCTCATCCTTCCCGCTCAATTCCATGACTCGCCGCCTCACTGGCTATGAACAAAAGACAAAATTAAGCGGCTGCTGGCTGTAAAGCAGCAGGCGCCATCATAATAATATTCCGCAAGACGACATTGATGTCAGAGCCGGCTGAAGGATGCAGGATGCTTGGAACTGGGCACAGCAGTAGCTGAAGCATCGGCATTGCCATCGCCATCTCCATCGTCGTCCTCGTCATTATCATTGCTTTATTTGAGTTGGAAGCTTTATGTTTTCGACGCATACGCCTGACTGCCTGTTTTACTGCTCAGTTCCCAGTTCCCAGTTCCCAGCATGTCTATTCGTATATCTGTTTAGCTGTGTACGATATCTGTGCCTCCCTTTGGTGCAACATCGTTAGCAATGGTCTATTACGATTGTGTCTCCATAGAGTTGCACTCAATTGTTGCCGCTGCATTCATTCACTTAGTCTAGATTGTAGATTGTGTGTTGTTGACTGTGTGCAGCAAGCAAGAAAGTCAAATTTACGTTAGGTGTGTACTCTGTTTGTGTCTTCTAAAGGGGAGTGTCCGCCTCGACTGGCTAGCTAGTAAGCATGCATATCTGTAGGATTTTGTGCATTGCGAAAATATATCTATTAAAATATTTTCTTTATCTCAAAACTGTTGCAGATATAAGTGCAAATAAATTCCTAAAATCTGTCTTCCTTGAAACTCTTGAAGCCCGCTAAACTGCATTTAACTATTCACCTTTCACATTTACTGTGCTCAGCTCTTCCCATTGTTGTCTGCTCTATTATAATATATATTCTTAAGGAATACTTGGAGCTCCTTCAGAATATTGAATCTAAACCTATTTTTCTCAAGTATATTCAAGCTATACTTAATTTAATTAAACAGCGGGCACTTTTACTGTGATCAACTCTTCTCATTGTTGTCTGTTCCTTTATAGTATTGCTTTCTCCAGTTACGGGCTTTTGAATGGGACCAATACGCTCCTTGTTTCGCTCAGCCGACTGTCACATTGTCCACTTTGCTGGGAGACTTGCACAGCTGTCAGTTCAGCTTGGTTCCCTCCACCTGTCACTGTATGTCTCAACACTCAGCCCACCAGGCACCCACACCCAGCCCGCTTAACACCTGGCAGTTTCGTGCTAAGTGAAATGTTTCAATGTCTTGGTTTATGTATTTTACAATGAGGTCGTCAGCGGCTCCTCCATTACTGCATCTACTTTTGCCTTCTTCCACTTGCCAGGCAGCTGTCGTGCTCTTTATTTTTGTAAGTCCGTATGACGGTGCCTGGTTCTGGCTCCGACTCCGGCTCCGGCTTCGGCTCCGGCATTGGTTCTGCTGCCTGGTGCTGCACTTGCTCCCTTTAGAACTGCTGCCGGCTGTCGCATATCGTTTGGGCTGATTTAAATGTGTCATAACGACGACTCGCCTGTTTGCCGGTACACGGTTGAGCATTGCAATTTTTGCACTTTTGCTCACGACAATGGCTGCTTGCAATTTTTATTTACTCTACCCATAGTTGGGGGCTCTCCAGGGACAAGAAACGAAAGGGGGAACTAGCACTTACCCAGCGTAATTGCCTTTCGTGACGAACTGTCATAAATGCATTCGGCGATGAGTCTATCGCCGGGCATGGAATGCACCGACTGTGGCAAACGTCGAAAGTCCTGATAGGCCACATCTATATTGCTGTCGTGTGCAATTGGCGGAAGCTCCTCGGTTTGTCGTATCTGCAAAGTTAGTTTGCTCATTAGCATTGGTTCTGGCTTAGATCCGTTGCCGAATCCCAATGGATATCAAAGCGAACTACTGGGCAAACAGTAGACGGTAGTAGAGTACTCACCTGACGCAGCTTAACCTCCTTGCCGATTTGATGTGTGCGCATCATGACCGCAAAAATGTTGATGCCCTGGGCGGGAAAGGCATAGCCGGTGCAATCCTCAATGCATTGGCCCTCCGATATCACGCGCTTCTGTCCCGGCGGTATAATGTGGCGCCAGTTGGGATCCATACCTGCAAATGTTGAGAGAGCGTGTGTTGAATACTTTTAATTAACGCTTCAGAGTGGCGCAAAGCGCGCTTTATCAAAGCCACGAGCCACCAGCCCTACCAGCACGACATGCACAATTCCCTAGCCAAGCCCCCGACCCAGTTACGGATCCTACTCTCTGCCGAAGCACTCTACTTACTTAGCTTTGAACGTTGATTTTTTAATTCGATTTGGCGGGTAACGTGTAATTACATTTTAATTGCTGCTTTTGATGTTTGTTAACAAGTTTGTCAGTGCAGCAACGTAGACAAAACCGCCAAATAGCAGCAGAAGCAGCTGCACCACCGTCAAGGAACCACCCCAGTGGGTGCCTCTATATCAATCTTTCTAGACTTTTAACAATTTTCGTCAATCGAATTATGTGTGTGTGTGTGTGCCTTAAGTGAATTTTGTATACGCCACGCTCGCTGTCTCAATTAGTTAAATGTTGCGAAATATTGCTCATACGAAGCGTTGCACTCGAAGCCAAACTTCCCGTACCAGATACGCAATTAGGGCCGCGTGTCGCGCGTCATGTTGAAAAAATATTTGAAATTCATGTGCGCTACATATTTTTATTTACCACTGTTTGGCATTTCAATTGCTTCGTTTGCGGGACTCTGAGTATGCCAATCAAAATACTCGCGGAAAATGCTTGGCATTGCCAGGAAAACCCCATTTGCTCAGAGCCCAGCTGGCAATTGATTTTTATTGTAAATCCGCGTGGGCGCCTTTTTGTTTTCGTTTTATTATTATTTTTTTCAGTACAGTAGAGTAAAGTATTGCATGAGTGTATTTGTAGCTTAGTCATGCTCGGTTAGCAACATTCTATGGGAAACATTGCGAATGACATCGAGTTGATTGCATTTCTGTAATACTCGCAGCGTAAAGTTACCTACGTGAAATGCAATTTTAATTCTATGCGTGTGTGTGTGCGAGTGTGTGTGTGTGATTGCTGCATATGCAATACTTCAAGTCATGTCTAAAATATGATTGATTTAAAAATGCTTTGGTAGTTACTAAAACTCATTTTCGACTCTATGAATAATTTAGCTGACGGATCAATCATAAAAAAAAGAAATTCTATTAATCAATTATGGAATTATCTAACCACAATTATTAGAGCTTTTATTTTTTATTATAATTTATTATAATAATGCAATAATGCATTCCAGAAAAAAAAATTATAATTGTTGCTTTAATATATATATTTATACTTTCGGGCTTCCAGCTCTGTCAGTTTGAATAACAATGTGCTGTTTAGCCCGAGGCCTGTCAGGCGGGGTTTCATTAAATTACGTAAATATGATATTTTTTGTTGTTTGTTAAATTTTGTAGTTGAATGGAATGCGCTTTAGTTAAACTATCTGTGAAAGCAATAGCCCAAAATGCTAATCAAATTGTCACCAAAAAAAAAAAGAAAGAGAAAAAGCAAATTTCGATCCAAAAAGTGAAATTGAGTTTTTGGCAGCAGGTGCGCGTGTGACACAAATCGCCATTTAAAATAATTAGAAAAGTTGCCGCCGATTTCTGATACGGCCGGCATTTTGCATTTTGCATTTTGCATTTTGCAGTCTCAATTCTGCCATGTTGCAAACGAATTTGGCTGCTGTCAACGTGGCGTGCGGCAAATGCAACGTCAATAAAAATTACCAAAATCAAACCCCACCCCGGGCTAGCTCGTGTGTTAAATATCGATTTGAAAAATATGCAGTTATGAATTGTGCCATGCTCCACAGTGTCGTCTGGCCAAATCAAATAGAAATAGAGCCAGTATACCAAGCTCTAAGCCCTCGACAGCAAACCCCCCGCCCAAGCCAAAGTTTAAAAGCAACTGCCGCTCGTTGCGTCGCTTTGGCCAATATTGAATTTGATTTAATGAATGGAAATTGGCAAAAAGCATCGATATATACAGATAGTGACAGAGACAGAGACAGAGACAATGAGAGAGAGAGAGAGAGAGAGAGAGAGAGAGAGGGAGAGGGAGAGAGACGTTGACAGTAATTTATGTACCCAACTGTTATTGAAATCTTTTTCGCTTTAATTTCATCAAATATTTCAAAGCATACTTTTTGGGGCACGCGTTTCATGAGTTCATTTGTAAGCGAATAAATTAAAATAAAAGGGTATTCAATAAAATTGTATTCAATGTTTTAGCTAGCATAGGTAAAATAATGAAATATTGCGCATTAAGCATGCTACAATCGATTTGAATTTATAGCACGTTGCTGGGAATCAGTGAGAGTCATCTGGTCGAAAGTTTTTCGCGCTTTAATTTGGTAAAATTTGATAAACGCGCATGAATTGCAATTTGGAATTAAATTGATGACGCGCTTTGGCAATATTTGCTAGATACATTTCATCAATCTCCGCTCAGCACGTTGATTGATTTCGTTTCATGACATTTAATAAAATGACCAGCAGAGAACACAACACGACGGGACTATTTCGCAGTTAGCCAAGCCAACATGTCATAGTTAAAAATATGTACTCGTAATTGAAAATTAATTAAAAAAAAAACAGTGCAGCTGTTGATCAGTGCGAAAGCAAGTTTCAGTAAATAAAATACAATTTGTAAAAAGCTTTTCACCTAACACCCGACACACTTTGAACTTTACAAATTATATTCATTATTTAATAATTAAATCTGGAGATGGAGATGGAAATTTGTGTTTGTGTTCGGCGCTTAGTTAAATGAGCTTAAGCCCGTGAACTTTTACTGGATGATGTTTTAGAGACTTTCTATTAAATATTTAAAATCATTTCCTGTTAGTTTTCGTACATTTTTAGATCTTTTAAGCTGAAAGCTTCTGGGCCATAAGCCCCAATGGGCTTAACAAACTCCCACCACTCCGCTTTGATGGCCTCCACTCCACTCCACTCTCCAATCAGCAATCCCATCGGCTGCAATCGGCCTCCGTTCTCCATCTACAAGGTGCCATAAAAAACGCGCCAAGCCGCAGCAACATTAATCAAAGCGGCGTTGCATACACCAGGGCGCTATATCAATAACCAATTAAATTGAAATTAAATTTCGCCACACGGACGAGAGAGTGGCCCAGAGCAGAGACCCACAGATCTACGGACAGACAGTCGTACAGGAAGCGTAGCAATTTCACAGCTACTTACGCGTGTTGGGTCGACCAGCTTTGGCATATCCCCTCGCCCGTCTCGGCGCGCGTAAGTCCAAACGTAATTCAATTTATTGCGAGCCAGCAAAATGTATCCACTGTTTATATGTATATTCTTTTAATTTTTTTTATAGAAGTATGTGTGTGCGCGTGTATACTTTTTATTTATTGACTGCCGTGTTGTGGTATGCGTTAAATTCCAATTAAATATTTCAATAGCATTGCCAACTGCGCGCACTGGGACAGCTCCAAAGCCCACTCAAGCATAACCAGGGACCTAGCCGGAGCTAGCTGTTGCCTGCCTCCCGTTGTTAGCCAACAGCTACTATGTTGCATGACGAGGCACTAAATATATATGTATATATATTTGATTTCATTATGCTCTTGTGCGGAGGTATTATATTTTGCTAGGAAATGTTTAACGAACCAAAAAAATCAAAATATATATCTCGTTATTTTGTTGCAGGCAGCTCATAAGTCGGAATCGGAGTGAATGAACGTAAATCAATCTACTTTTTCATATATCTCTCTACGGAGGATTGTTAAGAAATGAGTTTTAAGAAATAATTTTGTTAATTTTAAAGATATTTTGACGAAATCCAGCAGTTACGAGCTACAATATATCTCGAATATTTGGAAGCCTTCTTCAGTCTGCATTAACACATGTCTAGAAGGGCATTTCGTCTTCGATGTGCCGGAGGTAGCTCGTCTTTGGCGTATTTTAATGCTTTTTATTTTATTTGATTCGCTTAGAAATTGCACTGTATCAGAATGTATTAATCTACTTCTGCTACTTTTCTGCCGTTATACTCCGGAAGTTTTGGCAACACCTCCTCAAAAAGCATCGACGAGAACGTGTGGCCACTGGTGGATTAGGAGGACGATGAGGAGGAGGAGAAGGAGGGTGGCCCGATACCTTCATCCTGTATGGCTTATTCTCTCACTTCCTATCCACAGTCCCAACTGTGTTGGCCATGTCTCTGTGCGGTTGTAACAAAGTTATATTGGTTTGCGTGACTATGAACAAAAGTAAAATAACAATTACAACAACTGCAACAGCAGCGACCACAGTGTCCGCCCCCTGGCCAGCAATCCACCCACCCACCCCGCCTGGTGGCCACAAGCAAATACAAAAACCAAACGAAGCAACCAAAAGCCGAACAACAGCAAAAATAACAATAAGAAATAGATGCAGTAGAGGGAGTACGAGTAGAATGAAAAAAAAAACATCGAAAACAAATTGTAAAGTGAAATTAGTATTTTAGTTATCCTGTGCGCAGGCATAGCTATGTATGGAAACCTGGAAATTTGTTGAGCTTTGCCAGGCAGCGGGTGGGCTATCGGGGTTGTTTAGGATACTCAGGTTCCGGGAAATATACTCAAAAAGCGCTTAAGCTTGGCGAACACACGAATTTTCTTGTTGCGGCCAAAGCAGCGTGGGTGGCATGGAAACTTAGTGAACACCGTGAACAAATGGCAGGCATTTGTTTTGTCAGCCAGACACACGAGTGCCAGCTAACCAGACCCAGACCTAACATAACGTAAGGCTGTACTTGTGAGGGATTTTTCGCATTAATTTTTCAAGGATTAATAAATGTCTAGACTACGTTAAGAGATAGATAAAGAGAGCCTTGTAAACGGCTAAGCACGTTTCAATATTTTTGAAAATCTTTCATTTTTCACCTTTAGCTATGAGTTACTCGGCATTGCCCGGCACAAATTGAGTATAAGGAACATGGAGTGGGAAATTCGGAACCCTCTCTAGGGTATAGTAAATATCCGTAAATGTTTTAGTTGGGCTAAAAAAATGATTGTTACTGCGACATTTAAGCCTTGATATCCCTCGTGTTAGACCACTGTTGGCAGGTAACCTTTTCATTTTCAATGATCAGTGTCGTCCCAAAAGGAAGCTTCTGTTAAAATTCTATTCAATCAGTCAGTCAGTCAGTCAGTCAGTCAGTCAGTCAGTCAGAGCTAGCTGCTTTATATATTATAGAAAGACCCTCGTCGCGGCTTTACGTACAAATAAATAGTTGAACCATGTCCAATTGACGTACTTCCATCCCTTTGGGCTCAAAGGTCACTTAAATTATTAATAAGAATATTGTATACTACAAACTTTTAGAGGGCCATGCAATGAATTGCCATTAGTAATTTATTAATTTGTTTTATGCGTGCATCGCGCACCATTTTGTAATTAATAATTCAGACAAAGTAAAAAACAAAACAAATTGTTTGCCGGCCTGGTTGATAGCCGAAGAGACGCACTTGATAAGCAATTAAAAATATATTTCTATTGTACAAAATCGTGAATGCAGTCTGGCGCGATAGACAATGTTTCGCCAGGGCATACCTTTGCCCACAGCACACTCACACACACACACACACACACTCGCACACACACACATGCTGATGGATGAAAAACTCATATGCTTTTGTTTTACTAGCCACCAATGCGGCTGCCAGCTGTAGAGGACCGCAACTCCCAGCTTCCGAGTGAGCAACTCCCAGGGTCGTTTTTGGTCTCGGCAATCTCATAAATTGCATGACATGAGTTGCATATATGAAAGCTCGCCTCGCATAAAGAATACACACTCACACTCACACGCGCACACTTCATCCACTGCAGTGCTGCAGACACATACACACACATGTATTTTTGAATATATGTATAGATACATCTATGTGCTATGGGGGGCACCCAAACTTACCGATTGACAAAATGCCAGCGTCATTTGGTCGCAGCACGTGCGTAAAGTAGATTTTCAAACCAGAATTATCCGCCATTTGTCTGGCATGCAATTGGGCAAAGTCCGGCTTCAAATTGTTGTAATGGGTCTCCATTAAATAATATTTGGCCTGTCGCGACTCAATCGGGTAGCCCGCTTCATGTGGATACGTAAAGCCCTGCAAAACACAAACGACACCGAATGAAACAAAAGCTCCCAAAAACGAAAAATAGGGGAAACAAAAAACAACCAATAAGCACGCGTCAGTTGGGTGTTGCCGACTGCGCAATGCGCTGTACACAGTGTAAGTTTAATTAAAAAAGGGTCTGCTTAATTATTGGGCTCTAATTGCAAGTTGTGGAGGCAGCAGTTGAATATTTTTGACTCGATCTGCATAGAAGCTGGATTACATGATGACATATTCCGGACAGACGAACGGACAGTAAGATATAAAACCGATATACTCCTTTTCACATTGTGCAGCGAATGTCAAAAAGAAGCTGCGCGAGTGCTGTTTGTCATATACATATTTATATATGTATGTTTGCGTGTATGCATGCACATGGATTCCACTATGGATGGAAAATGAAGGACGGAAGTTAATGCCATGGCCATGTGCAATTTAAATGCGCAGCAACATCAGCTACCGCCCCCGCGCTGCCCCTACTCCAACGCTATCGCCTGCTCCAGCGGCAGCGCAAGCCGTTGCCATTCAATTGCATTGCAGTGCGCAGCGCCCCCTGGCGGCGCGACATGGGCACTGCATTATGGCAGCGCTCCTGTGATGAAATTATGAAAAGCATAGCAAAAAGGTTCCGAAAGTGCAGAAGGCCAAGCCATTTCGTTTTTTATGCGGGAATACCCTTGCCGAAATTGAGTACCATAAATTAATAGATAAGCTTGAGCACGTACAGTTTGTAAAGTCTGCCTGATGGAGTTGAATATGGTGAAATATAAGAATAAACTCTATATCTATGTTGAAGTGATTATTTCATAAGACGGAAGTCTTAAATGCAATGTACAAAATATTACTTAAATAAAAACTGTGTAATTGTAATTATAATAATAATTACTCAAATAAAAACTGTGCAACTTTTTCGCTAGTTCTTTGAAGTAAATTTTTTAAATTATTTAATTAATTATGATTTAAGTAGTTAAAAATAGAAATTTTCCTTTGGCTAGCTTGCTTTTTTTTAATTAAATAATTCTTTGTTTATATTTCGGCAAGGGTATTTAAAAGTTCGCGCATTCAAGGAGAGTTAACTTGCATTTTGTGTTGAAAGGAAGGCATTTGCGAAGGTTAAATTAATATTGCATGGTTATGGTTCTGACACTGATGGGGTATGGGGATAAGTTGAGCTGAGTTGAGTGCAGTCGAATCTGATGCTTACCTCGCTGCCCCGCGACCAGGAGGCAACAATGGCATTGCATGCCAGCGGAATGGAACGGGCGCCCATACACTGTCTGCCCTGTTCGCGTGCCAGCTCCTCCAGCTCCGAGTGCGACCCTTGGCACTCGTGGAGCGTTATGTGCTGCAAGTAGTGTACGCTGGACGATGAATCATAAATCGGCTCGTACTGTCGGTCCCATGAAAAGAAAATGAACAGGTCCAGAGACAATCCAGCGTGCGGGGAGCGCATGTAGAGACAGAGATAAATAAATTTTTAATATTTCAATTTGGTTATGCCGAGGCCAAGGAGCATCATCAGCGACAAAAAAAAAACAAAAAAACAAAAAAGAGGACGCCGAATGCAGCAGACTGCACTTGCCCTCAATTATGCATTGTGTATAAGTATTAACGTTTAGCAATGGCCACGTTAGTTCTTACCCGAATGAGATGATGCTTTCGATTGATATCCTCCAGCTTGAACATTTTGCACCAAAAAAGCGGCGTATCGCCCGGAGGCAGCTCCACGTCCTCATTGCGCAGCTCCAGCACACGGACGCGCTCATCATGCGGCGATGGCAACTGCAGCTGGGCGCGCTGCATGAGCACCATGGGCCGATAAGGTCGGAAGGCGCGCGCCGGATCGGGCAGCGTGCCGGGACGCACCGAGCCGTGCGGTGGATCCTGTGCGTGATACATGTACAGCAAGCGCATTGTATCGTTCTGTAAAACAGAAAAAGGCAACACAAAAAGTATAAGAGCAGGCAAGGATAATGGAGAGTTGAAAAATGTGTAAAAAATTAGTGGCCAAAGGTGTGCATGTGTGTGTGAGAGTGTGTGTGTGTGAAGCACAAAATGGCGTTATAATAGCGTCCCTTGCAACAGCGGACAACAACCCACCCACCTGCCTGCACCCGGACAACAAGAGCAATAATGTCGCTGCTGACGTGTACACGGATGGACTGTCTGGAGCTGTGGGCTATGCGGACTGGGGGGCGGTGGTGGCTGTCCGGCTAAATTAAGTAAAAGTAAAAAAAAAAAAAGGTGCGCACGAGTTGAGCAGCGGAAGGAAACGGAAGTCGCCTTGCGGCCATTGGCAGCCGGGCAGGTGTTGTTTGGTCAGCTGCAGTTGACTCTGCAGCTCCGTGCGCTCCATGTTTCATGTACGGACTTGTTCGTCTTGTACGTACGTGATTGTAATGGGAGGGGCATAAGACAAGTCACTTGAGCGACTTTGCCACTATTCAATGGCTGCCTTAATTAATGGATGGCAGCCAGCAAATGTGCTCAAGAGTAGTTAAGAACACAACATTATGTTTCAACTTTAAACGGGAGCTTGCAATTTTCAATACTGTTCATATATTTATGTATACTTTATTAATTCGATTTACCATCCATTTTCCGCAAGCGGATTTAACAAAACTCCGTGACACCCATTCTATGAATTATTTACAAAGATTTTCAAATAGAAGGTAAGGAAGGAAATGAAATGTTCCTCCATTAATTATAAAGTTATAATTTGGGATGTTTCATACAGAGAAGCATGAAAAAATCTTTCATAAATTGTTTTTATAATATAACACAATTTACCACCTATTTTCCACTCATGCCTGTACGTTGACTGTCCATCAGTCATTCCGTCAGGAGAAGTATGTGCATTTATTATAAGTATTTGGCTATAAATAACTAAGTTAATAGACGTACATATTTATTTTGCACTATTTCCAGTACTAAACATTTACCAAGCGCCGTTGCCAAACTTCAGTGCTTCCATAAGATTATTTTAATGAATACCTACTAATTTATGCAGCTTGCACTCTAAGTGGCATTCTAACCAAATGAAACCAAGCTAAATCAACTAATAGGAGTTCATTCAACTTAATTGCATGACCTCTAGAATTACATTTGACAACTGTTGCCAAACTTCACAGGCCAATTGCTTCAATACTGTTTTGTAGCAGACTGTACTTGAGCATTTACCAAAATTGTGCAGTTATTTTTCATTCGTTTTACCCACACCAAAGAGGCTACACAAGGACTCGTCCTGTCCGCCATTACATCTTAGCTTCAATTTACACGTCTGGTGCGGCGAACGTGTGTGTATATATATCTAGATGCATGCGTATATATCATATGGGACTGTTCCTATATGTATGCATGTATTTGTTTTGTGCTTTCTCTTGGTATTTCTTTTGTATTATGTGTGTGTGTATGTGTGTGTGTGTGGCCAGCATGTATATTTCATTTGCCACGTAGTTTTAATTGGTAAACCCAAATTAAAGCTTTCATTAAAGAATCACAACACGACGGACGTCGCGTCGGGCCAAAATGTGCCCGCGAGCGGGCAGTACCATACCCTCCGTACCCTCCGCCCTCCTCGGCGCACTCTGTTTGTACTTGACTCGTATGCCTCGGGGGCTTTTGGAAGCCAACAGTCAGCTGTCATTGTGTGCATGTCATGTGCACGTGTGTGTGCTTATATGTGTGTGTGCTTATGTGTGTGTGTGTGTGTCTGAAGCGACACAACAACAATAACAACAATAACAACACATATTGCAAACATGGCAGCACCACAGAGAGGGTGAATGAGAGCGGAAGAGAGAGTGAGAGAGAGAGGTGCAGAGCAGGGTGTCGGAGATTGTAAAAAAAATCTGCAACCCGGTCAGGGCATCCATTTGAATTCATTGTGGCAAAGTGCCCATTGTAGCTGTTAAGTGGAACTGTAGAGCACCATGTTCGACAATTGACGGCCAGGGCAGCCAGGGCCATGCCCAGGACAGCGACAACAACGACAACAACGACGAGTCCTTGTCCACTTGTTCATTTTGCCAGCAACGAGGAGACAATACTTTAATTAACAATTCCCTTACTCGCCCACCGCCTACCGCCCCCGATGCCGGCAAGCATATCGCCCCCGCCTTATTCATAGCAAGTCTGCAAAAACCTGTACAAATGACTCGGTTGCCCGCTGTCCGGGCAAACACTGCGGGCGGCTGCGGCAAACGCGCTAACCGGCCGGCAATCGCTGGCCAGCTGGCAGCAAAAACAACAACAGCAACAACAACAACAACTCTTTTCGGGGGCAGTTTTAAAACATTTGCCGTGCGACAGGCGCAGCACAAAAGTCATTAACGTGGCTACGGCGCTGCTGGACATGGCCCAGTTGTAAAAACATGACCACTGTGAAAAAAACTCAACAGTCATTCGGAAGCAAAAAGGATACACGTCTTTGAAAGACGACTTCCAAATGCTCTTTACACAAGGCGATATTATGCAAAAAGAGCAGCTTGAAATAGTGAAACGATAAATAGAAGGCAATTTGCAATTATATACTGTATTCAAGAAAAATGAGTATTAACATTTGAAAACCCGCATCTTTCACTGATATATTAAATTTCATAAAAAGCAGACAACTTAAAAGCATGTTTTAATAGCCTGTAATAATAAACTTGGTAACAATGTTAATGCCAAAATTTACAGGCAACAGACCTTCCCTTTGTTGGTTTTAATGAGCAATTATAAATAAAGGACCTTACAGCCAGGACTGCAGTGGGTGTTCGGGTAGATGGTTCAAGCCAACTTCTAGCCTTAACGTTCAGTTGTTTCAAAACTTTGTTTGCCATATATTTTAAAACATGTATTAAGAAACAAGGTTGATCTCTGCCCTATGTTATTTAGTCCTTGCTTCTGCTTGTGCCGCAAAAATGTTAGTTTAGCTTAGAAAAAAACATGGCTCTGCTCGTATTTTGAAATAAATGTGAAATTAAAATGAAATATGTTTAAATTTGGGACTGGCTCGCAATAAGAAAAGACAATTGTGTACACATTTCCTATATGAGCTATAAATATCATATATTTAGCCACACAGTTGCACAAAATAGCAACAGCCTTTGGGCATCGTAGTGTATCAGCACGTAGAAACAAAGTGTGAAAAAGCCTGAGACGAACTATGCACACGCACGTAGAACAACAGGAACAACAGGAACAGGAACAACAACAGCTGAGAGTCGACAACTAAAATGAAATGAAAGGCTTCAGCAAGGATTGCAACCAAAAATTAATGAAAGCAAACTGGCTACAGTCATTTGGTGTGTGGTCAACGCTTGGCCAGGGACTTAATTGCCAAAGACTATGAAGGGATGAGCGTCGGCCGGGTGCGGTGTGTGTGTGTGTGTGTCAGCTGCTGGGAGCAGAACAGAAGCACAGGACTGGAGGACTACAGGTGGCTGGCACTTTGCTGACTCTTGGCTAATTGTAAAATGCGCCAGTACAAGGACTCATTAGAGTCGTGGTTACGGCCCAAAAAACATGCAAGGATTGCAGCTAAACGCTTGCCTGAACACAAAATGAGGTCCAAGATCTGAGGTGCTCGGTTTAAGTGCACTCGAAATACGTTTGGGCTTTTGTTAAAAGCAGGCTTAAGCTGGCATTCCCAGTGCTGTCAAGCGGATATCATAGTTCAGTTGTTATTTTCCCTGAATCGAAATTAAATTGAAAAATGCTAGCTCATCGTCAAGCTAATGTAATACCGCGTCTGTCGGGCCGTGACAATTACAAGGAATGGAGCCACAAGGTGGAACTGCATATGCGTATACAAGAAATGTGGCCCGCTGTGATCTCACCGCCGGTGCCCATTAAAACCGAGATGGAACAGGAGGATTATATATTTGTTGCCTCGCGCAAACGCATCTACATACAGTGTCCCGATTCCTTGGTAAGAGCAGAGCATAGCTCTATTCATAAATATCGCTTTGAGGTATTTCTCTCTTTTCAGAATCGCAAAGTGAAGTTATTTTTGTTTAGATTCATAGAGCCTATGATTGTTATGCCTGGTTATGCTGAAATGAGTGTACCCTGCCTTTGGCATGAACTGAAACGTCAATATGGCCATCTAGATGAGTCCAAACGGAAGCTGAATGCAAAGCTGCAGAAGAAAAGCAAGAAAATCAAGTTGGCCAAGGAGCAGGAAAATGCTTGTGGAATATATCCATGAGAGAAGTATCGTTTTATAATCCAGGTTGTTGTGTTAAATTTTTGTTGTTCGTTTTGGTCGTTAGTTAAAAAGCATAAATAAAAAGCAGGCTTGAAAACCAATTGGCGCCTTGAACCGAGCACGATTATTGCTCAGAAAATAGCCGAATTCATAGCTGAGCCAATCCACATTTTCTTTTAAAAGAATTTATCTCAGATCGAAAACCTCAAGGCATTTATAACTTGGTCCTCAGCCATTTAATTAAAATTGTTAGATGTCAATTAGTATGTAAAAAGCATTTCAAATAAGCATAAATAATTAAAGTTATTATAAACTATATAAACCAGCTCTTGAATCAAAATCTATATTTGTAAATCTTCTCACGAAGCGAATCTAAAGATAGGAAGTTGCTTTGAGCCGTATTGCACCCATTCTTTGTCTTGGGATTGCAGTTTTGAAAGTTTAAGGCTAGTCAAAAATCTTTTTTCAATAAGTTTCGTATTGTGTTCATAGTAACTTATTTTTGTAGCTATTTAAATTAGAACATAATTAGGCCACAAGCTTTAATATTTTGCAATTATATTTGAATTGAGAAAAAATAATTGGATTCAGCTTTAGCTTTGGCTGCTCTTTATTCAACTAATCCGCTTAAGGGCTCGGTTAATGGTAAATAAAATATTGGAATTTCGGCTTCAAGCCGTTTCCATTTAAAATTGGCTTCCAGCCTTGTTAATATTGAGTTTGGGGCCTT